TCCCTAACTAGAGTCATTCTTAAGAGCTATGCCCCCTTCACACCTTAACTAGACAACCCTTAACTATTCTAGGTAAGTACTTATTTATTTAACATACATACTTAACTTAAGTCATTACATTCACTAGTTCATTTAAGACTAATTCATCACATAAGGACATTCAAGTAATGGTCTTAGAAAATACATAGGGACTCTACACCTTCAAAGCCCATTGTGCAATGTCTAGATAGTGTCCCATACCACCACCTAAACTTCATACAGCTGCTCTAACACTAGTAGATATCCCATATGATGAGAATAAGCAATAACTGACATATACCATGGTAGCAAAGCATGGAATCTAGAGTTCTAACCTACTCCGTTGAGGATGTTCTACTTGCCAATGGTAGAACTTAGATACATCCCGTGTAGGCACATACTTAAGGAATATGAAGGGTGTGCTTTGTACTCTAGTCTCATACTTTAACTAGAGTTACTTCCCTTACCATACTCACTCGGTACTAGCCTTTTTTCTCATAGAGTAATTCACATTAGAGGTTTATATAAAGGGGTTCCATATCAAGTTCATAACCCAATCACATTTACTACCAAAGAGGCCCGCTAGGGCTACCTTATAATAGCGACAAGAAGCTCATAATGAATTTCCTAAGGATTGACATGACGCCGTTCCAGCCAATCAACCTTAAGTCTATCATTTTTTTATTTGAAGGATACCATTACGACTTTCAACTTCAACATTCATAACCTTACCACTAGGTTCAAGGTTTCACATACATACCCTCTTAATATTATTAAAGGTCACATGTAATTCATACATACAAGACTAAGAGACTTTAGCATCCTAAGTCAAGACATCTCATATTCAAATTCGTACATGCATCAACTAAGAGACACATGTCAACAAAGACAAGACACAACATACTTCATTTTAACACATATTACATGTCATTATAAAAACACATAGGAATAACCATTATCATCTTTACGCCATCCTATTCACTACCATATCATCATCAATATGACCATCATAGACTCATATAGTCAAGTAGGAATAACCATGAATCAACCCTATGACTACACATATAAGCATATAGCCATAGTCTACATGATTTTTTACATACATAGAAAGAACATATACTTCACATTACTTCACATGTAGATGGATATGCTCATATTTCACATAAATCACCTAAATAAATCATCATACTATTTCAAGCAGTACAGACAAGGACATGATCATCATATTGCATATAGTAACGCCGACGAGGCTATATCAATTGCAAGTAAAACACATAAGTCATACCAATAACAACATAATCGAGGTCTAATTAACATAAAATAAAGAGAATATGGCAGCTTACTACCCATTCAATCTCACCTCTTTAGTCCAAAGCCAAACCATACAATTCAATATAAATAGGCCCTTACCCATGGCCATGAACATCAATTCAATACATAAACTATAATACTCAATGTATATAAGTCAATTCAATATATATATATATATATATATATATATATATATATATATATAAGACCAATTAGACATCAATTGAATAAAATTCTTACATCATTCAATAGCCTATAGAAAACTACATTAGAGTTCATAAGCATTAAGTCAATATCAGTTCAATAAGATTAATATTCAATACATATAAGAATATACAATACTCAATTGATAAAATTGAAACATCCTATAAACCAATCAATCATAATCTATATATAAATCAAGAGCACATAACAATCTACACATGAATTTATCAATATCAAAGCATGATTACATAACCTATATTTTAGTCAAATTGAGAGATTTGAGAAGGTCAAGTGTTCATGGATAATTTCATTGGAAAAATAAATTATTCATCAATAATATCATATTTTAATGTTTGAAAATGTTTCATGTAAGAACCCAAGACCTAAAGTAGAAATTGGACTTTTCATCTTTTTGAAATCTTTGAAAATCATCTTAGAAATTGAATATAAGGTGATATCAAGCCTTAGAGGAAGAAATCTCATACCTTATTATAAGAATCCAATGATAATTGAAGAAGAAACTCCATTGAAGATCTATCTTGAAGCTCTATCTTCATCTTGAGCTCTCATAGAGGTTTTTGAAGAAACTTTGGGAGGGAATGAGTTTTGATTTAGGTTATAGGGTTTAAATGAGAGTTATATGAATTATATTCTCTTAAAATACCCTTAGACACCCAAAATAACCGTCCTCTTATTTTATAAGACTTGGGGTGAATTTTCCAAAAACTCCAAGTCTTAACAGAAAAGCTATGAATTTTCAACACCATCGACGCCTAGCATCGACGGTCCGTGGCCTACCCACACCATGTCGATGGGGTCTCATTTGTTTCTCCTAAAACTAATCAGCCTTCAGGACACATGGCTCAATCGATACCACCCCTCTACGGGCCATCATCTCGTCAATTGATCGTCGTTCGTGTTAGTCGATTGCCATTGCCTAGCATTGTTGAGCTCCAAGTTTAGGTCCTCCTATAGGGCCACTTGTGGGTTCTACATAGAGTCATACCAAGGATATTCTAACCCAAATATGTTTGTATACGAGTTTAGGACTTACCACATCAATTTCATGCAAAACGAACACATAAAACTCAACGAAACATGCATAGACACACAAGATCATTTCAAGGCAAACCTTTCGAACGCCATGGACGTTCTTGGCGTTTGACCTCCAAACTCCATGAAACTTGACATACTAACTATAAAAACCACAATAACTCATATAATTACCTCATTAACTCATGAAACACACAATTAGGAACGTAACACACATGAGGCACAAAGGTAACTTATGCGTCGAACATTTTGGTCATCCCTTGACATTTACCTTCCGATGCATCTAAACTATTAGCCACTACCTCTATACCACATTATAGACCAATTTAGGACCTTAGAACATCATGAAAACCACGTTAGACTCTAGCTTCACCTAGGTTATTTTTTAGGGGTGTTATATTTGCATTGTGCTCGAATATTGCATGTGCTCGAGAACTGCATTATAGCCCGAAATTGCATTGTGCCTAACATCGCATTGTGCCCGAATATTGCATGTACCCAAGATTGCATCTGCCCGAAGACTAAATTGTGCTCCAAAATTCCATGTGCCCGAAGATGACATTATTGTCTGCTCCTGAATTGCATGGTGATCGAGAATTGCATGTGCCCTAATACATATGTACAGAGTTACTACTGATTCAAGTCGCAAGATGCTACAATTACATCAAAATATATACAATCTCTTTATTCATTACTTATATTCCGAAGTCTTCATCTCCAAAGGCATCATCTTTCATGGTCTGCGAACTTCATGGCATGACCTAATGACTTACTTTATGCTTATCATGTTCCTAAGGCATCATAATCTAAAGGCATCATCTTCATGGCCTGCAGACATCATATCATTGCCTAAGGATTTATTTCCCGTCTATAATGATCCGAAGGTATCATAGTCAAAGGGCGTCATTTTTCATGGCCTGCAGACAACAATTTCATGACCCGAGGATATATTTTTGCGTATCATGCCCCTAGACATCATAACATAAGACATCATTTTTCATATTCTTAAGGAAAACATTCATGGTCAATATGGGAAATTGCATCATGTTTACATTTACCGTTTCTTTTGATACATCTGCTCTAATCACTCTATTTAGTCATATTACAAGTTACAGATGTGCAGATTACAGAAAAAATCAATCTCTCTTTGAACAACTATTTCCATGCTTACGAACAAAGACTCTTTCAAGTTATTGGCTACTCACATTATCATCTATCAGAAGTTGACATTATACTTCGGAGATAGGTTGCAACTTTTCAACAAGTTAATCTAAAGTCTATCAAAACTTGCACTATCCCTCAAAGCAGATACGCTTCTTATCTCCTCTGATCACTTTTTCAACTCGTATTTTATCATGTTGGTCACACTTTTTGTATTTTATAAACTAACATTTTATGTAGTTGTACAAGAATTCACATGTGTGATCAATCGCCCCCTGAGATGCAATTGTCACATATCGTAACAAAGGCCATATTTTTCTTCTGCTCATATTGCTCTTTTTCATCCGAACCTTGCTTAAAGACTGAAAACCTTGCTCTATCATTCTCTTATCGCTTCTCCATCTTTGTCTTCTCACTACTCTAATCTTGTTTATTCAAGCCGATATCATGGCTTTTCAAATATCGTATCGCTCTTTCAATATTTAAGAGTTTTGTTTGCTCTTCAATCTAGAACTACACACGAACTGAGTCTCGCATAAATAGAGATATGTAGGCGGCTTAATACCAAAGTCTCCGTCGTATCCTTTTTAAACTCTATATCATTTCAATCGATCCAACTGACGTCTCTCATCGATCGGACAAAATCGGCTACTAAGTCAATGTGGGTTGCTCGACAATTTATTCTTTATTCCCAAGCAACCAAGTGACAACTGTTGACACCCAATTTGACCGACCATTTAACCATTTTTGGAATACTATTTAATTAAATACATATTTTAAAATTTATTTAGAATTTAGAATTTTAGTCGATTTTGCATAAAAGTTATATATTTTAGTTTATAAAATTATTGTAATTATTATTAAAATATTTTAAAGTAATTAACAAATTTTGAATGTTTTAATATTTAAGTGATTTTTAATTATTTAAAAATATTTTAATATATGTAGTATTTTAATTAAAATAGTAACTTCTTAATTTTCCTCAAAATTATTTAAATTCTAGCCTATTCTATTTTATTTTCTTTCAATTCTAGCCAGTCCGAAATCTTATTTCAATATAACGACCATTTCATTTCAATAGCCTATTTCTATTACAATTTTGGTAATTTCAGATCTCATTCAATATTTTTCAGCTTTTAATCCCATCCATCCATCCTTCAAATTAAATTCTAGATCGAATCCTAGCCCTTTATCTCTTATTAAATCAATGGTCCAGCTTTGATCTACATATTCTAAATTAAAAAGACCATAATCCCTAAAGAATTGTCATTCTCTTCTCCCTCCCTCAGATCAACCACCTCTCTCTCTCTCCCAAACTCCACTGAAAACTTCTGTCTTCTCCGGCTCCTGTCTTCCGCTAGGGTGCCTCACTCTTCTTCTCTCCTCTCCCTAAGCACCGTTGCCCTCTCTCCAGCAGCGCCTCCCCCTCTCATTCCTTTTTTCTCTCTTTCTGGCAGCGAGTAGTTACACCGGAGAGCTGCCAGGAGACCAGCAATAGCCCGTAGCCAGGCGAGGCCATGGCGAACAGTAGGCGACGGAGCCTCTCTCCTCTACCGCTTCCTCCTTCTCTTTTCTATCTGTCCTATATGCCTTCCCTCCTCTTCCTTATTTTTTTCTTCTCTCTTTGTAGGTCCAACAACATCCCACTAGACAACAGCCACTAGTGACAACGGCTTTGGCAGATGAGCAGGACAACCGGCCAACAAACAAGCAAACTCCAGGGATGTTTTCGAAAGTTTCAAGGGGATTAAACGACGGATCTTATTCAAAATTTTTCCGGGTACATTCATTTTAAATTATTAACTTACATATTAATACTTTCATTTTTCTTTTTCACCTACTGTAATTTTGGTTTCTTTGGAAGCTTCATGTATGCTTAATGTTGATTAACACCTTGTTTAAAGTATGTTAATTTACTCATATTGTGATTTAAATATGATCTAGGCTGGAATCAATTTTAATGGCTTGTTAGAACTTTATTGCTCTTCTGGAATTTATTCATGTGTTCATATGTTAATATGCTGCGAATATTTTGTTGGTGTAGTGTTGATTTCTTCTACTAAGATATCTGATTTTTACTAGACAAAATGACTAATTTCGTGGTACAAATCTCTGAATTTCCTCTTATTATTTGCTATCTCTCGTAATTGATTATCACATTAGCTGAATTGATACTATGGGTTAAAAATCGATACATGTCGAATTAATTTTACTTTAATAATTCATTTATTGATATTTCGCTAGATTATTTCTTACTTTCTTATTTATGACTACTTTAATCATTTTCTTTTCATATTTAAGTTGCTCATCTATTTGATAAAATAAATTAATAATAAAATCCGATTTGACCATTATTATTTAAGGAAAATATTATTATTATTATTATTATTACTAATTTTTATTCTTACTTGTTTATATTTGGTTATGTCATATTTTCTTTTTGTTTAAAAAAAATCTAATTTTACTCTCTTTTAAATAAGAAAAATAATATATTAATTAATTCCCTGACATATTTTTTCTTCCCTAATGTGTGCCCCTCTTCTACTATATAAAGAGAATCCCTCATTCACTATCCAAGACAGACATCTTCAAAAGAACACCAGTTGTCTCATTGCTCATTCACTCTCACATCCTAATAATTTCTCATATAATCTCTAATCTTGAAATAAAAATAAGAATTTTCTAAGAAATATTCAAGTGCTTTCTTTGCCGTGTTGTTGTTGTGGTTTGGAAAATCTATCAATACTTCATTGCTGATAAATCTTCTGAATAATTAGTTAGCCCTCTTTATTATTTTAAATTTTGTTTTTGCATAATTATCATTCTTTTTTGTTGGAAACAAAAGGGAAGCATCCAACTTAGTTTCCTTATCCTTTCTCCCTATGTATGGTAGTATGTCTATGCATATTCTTTGTCCTTTTTATTTCTTATGTGTGTTGTTTATATATGTATATATCAATGTAATTTGTTACTATGAATATTATATATGACATTTATTTCTCATTGAGTATGTGTTACATTACCTCTTCTAGCAGGTTTTGAACTTAGAGTTAAAGTTGATGAAGAGTAGCCTAGAAGAAATTTCGGACGAAACTTCATTTATTTTAATGTTGTGTTATATTTTCATTTTTTATTATTACACTATGTGTATAATTCTCTAACCTTACATATAAATGAAATAAATTTGGTGGATCGCATAAGGGGAGAGAATTATTTTCTAATTATCTCTTTATTTGCAAACTTATTTGTGCTAGAAAACATGCCTATATGTTTGTAAATATATTTGATAGTTTCTTAGTTGATAAAATAACTTTATATCTAATCATAAAATAAATTAATTTTTGCTTGATCATTTGGTTAATCTTGTCCTTTAATGTTTGAAACTAATTTTATTCAATTTTGCATATTAAGTAATTGGTTATGACTAATTTGCTAAAATGTTAAACAAATAATTTGTGTGCATTTTGTACAAAATGATTCATTGAATAAAATATGCCTATGAAATTTATGCATTTATATGTCACTTGGAGTTAGAAATCATGCCTATATGTGTTATATACATGTGTTGATTATTAAATCACTTCGAAATCTTGTTTATAGGAATTATCAATTATTTTTTAGCATGTTAATAAATGAATTATTTCTTTTTACTTTGTCATTTTTTGCAGCATGTTAATTACCTAGAAATCATGTTAATAGGCTTGTTAATTTTCAGCAAATCAATAATTGAAATAAAATTCGTTGTGCATACTTTCTATAACTTTTAAATAAATAATTCCTATTGAGTTATTGCATCTAATAAATCGGTTACCGCTTAAAAAATTTGTGCATTAATAATAAAAACTGTTATCGTTCTAAAAAATATTTTCTGCATCTAATAAAATGACTGCCTAAGAAATATTTCTGCATTAATCACAATCTGATTTCTAATTGTTGCACTATAATCATTTTTCTTAAAAATATATTTTTAGCAGTACTAATTGATATATAAATATGTCACTGTTTTAAAAATAAATTTCCGCATAAAAAATAAATTTGTCATTTATCTAAAACAATTCAATGCATTAATAATAAATTTATTGCTTTACTTAAAAAATGCCTATTGTTCTAAAAAAATTATTTCTACATTAATAAATAAAAGTTGCTACTTTAAAATGCTCTCAATTAACTTTTTTTCCACATGCTAAACACTGTTTCTTTTAGGTAATTTGTTGTATTCATAATATTCTGCTATTTCTTTTGAATTTTTTTTTTTGCATTTGTAATCATTTTTTTCCTTATTTTTAAAACCAATTCATTACTTCCTTTTTCACTATGTTCACACACTTAGCATGAAAATCTTTCACAATTATATGTTGTTTGCAAGCATGTCTAATTAAAATTTAGAGGCCAAATTAAAACTTATAATGCTAACATGACCGTCTTGTTTTTCTTTTTGTTTCACTCTGTGTCTAGGAGGGCCTCATATTTTATTATATCTAAACCTACCCTACTAAGAGTCCAAGGCCTCCTGGACATTAGGTTGGAACGACTAGCCACCTTTAGGTACGAAATGCATGCAGTGGTGGGGTAGGGGTAGTTGGTCCTATGGAGATGATGACATTGACTGAGGCTTGAAAAGAAAAACTTTGGTTTCGTCTGTCCCTATACCATAGCCTATCGGAAAAATAAAAATAAAAGGTGAGTTATGATCCAAAAAGTCTCTTTTGAGTCTCTCTTCCCTATTATCCCTTTATTTGTTTGATAATTATATTTATTTGGGGTAACATAAAATAAAATAATAAATTTATTTGCTTACTTATTTGTTCCTTTTCTATCCTCCCGCTTATCTTTAAACTTTTATTTATTGTTATCACATAGCCTTACATGCTTATCTAATTAATTAAAATAAGAAGATATTTTTAATTGCTTAATATTATGTCATCACCTAGAAAGCATGCATAAAATTAAATAAAAATGATGAAGCGACCTTATTTGCTACTTGTAACCCCCACATAAATTGCATGAGATACGGTCGGGACCCACATTTGTGGACCTCGAAGGATGTCTAACACCTTCCGCTCGAGGTAATTTTAACTCTTACCCTGATCTATGGCTCGTCAAACTTAGCTAGACTTAATTAGGTTAGATAGGTTCCCTAACGCTTCTTAATTTGTTAGGTGGCGAATCTTCAAACTCCAAATCCCAAAAGAGTTGTTAGGCCGTGCACAAAATTTGTTTTGAGAAAAAATGGGGCCCGACACCTCTCTAACAAACATCAGAAGTTTCTTGAGTTTGACTTGTTACTATAGAAGTTTCTTTTGAAGAATTTTCATCCATAGGTTCCACATTTACCATGTTGATGAAGAAGAATGTCAAATTTCACTCGTCCGATGAGTATGAGAAAATCTTCTCACAACTGAACACTATGTTGACAACAACCCATTTCTTGACTCTACCAGAAGGGTTAAAAGATTATGTGATTTATTTTGATGTATATAGGGTTAACTTAGGTTGTGTTTTGATGTAGCGAGGTAAGGTCAAAGCATATGATTCTAGATAAATTAAGGTCCATGAGAAGAACAACTCGACTTATGACCTCGAGTTTATATCCGTAGTATATTCCCTAAAGCTTTGAATACACTATTTGTATGGTGTTCATGTTAATGTGTTCACAGTCCATGAGAACCTCATTTATGTGTTCACCCAGAAAGAGTTGAATCTTCATGAAAGATGATGGATCGAATTCCTTAAAGACTATAACATGAATATTGTCTATGGGTAGTAGCACATGTTAAGGAAGATAAGAAAGAGTTCCCCGAAGAAGTTCACCAGCTTGCTCTCTTAGGGATGCCTTACGGATACATCATATGATTGTGTGATAGTTGAGAATGGATAAAAAACTTTAGTGGTAGTAGATGTTAAGGTAAACAGGGCAACAATCCTATATTACTTTAATTGAAAGGTGCAGTTCATCAGCAGAAAGTTGAGTTTTCTCTTAAGGGGGAGATAATGTGCTTCGTTATCAGAGTCACGTATGTATTCCTAAGGTAGGTGTCTTGATGCCGAGGATCCTTAAAGAAGATCATAACGCCAGCTATTTCATTCATTCAGGTGCCACTAAGATGAATTGTGTTCTACGAGAAGTCTTTTGGTGGAAGGGCATAAAGAGGAACATAGAAGACTATGTGGCTAAGTGTCCTAATTTTCAACAGATTAAGGTTCTACATTAGAAACTAAGAGGTATAACTCAAGAAATTAAATTTCTTACATGGAAGTGGGAAGTGATAAACATTGAATTTATTATGGGTTTACCTTGTAATCGCAGACAACATAACTCCCTTTGGGTAATCATGGACAGAGTGACAAACTCTGCTCAATTCTTCGTTGTCAAGACTATAGATTCAGCATGGGACTAGCCAAACTCCACTTCAATGAGATAGTAAGCATGCATAGGGTTCCTTTGTCTATTATCGAAGTTAGAGGTCCTAAGTTTATCTCTCATTTCTGAAAATCAAGGTCTTCGTACTATGGCAAAATGTAGTACAAAATTTCAGCAACAGGAGGATTGTCAGTTAAAGCATACCATTCAGTTCTTTTATAACCTATTTGGATCTTGCATTATCGATTTTAATGATAGTTGCGATGATCACCGACCTCTCATAGATTTTTCGTTTTATAATAGCTTCTATTCCAGTATTTAGATGGCACCGTCTGAGTCACCATATTGGCATAGATACAAGTCTAATTGGTTTGGTTAAAGTAGGTAAAGCAATCTTAACTGGGCCAGATTCAATTTATGAGGATATGGAGAAGTTCAACTCATGAGAGATAGACTAAATGTGGCTCAGAAGCTCAGAATCGTCAAAAGTTCTATGCAGATGTGGGGAGAAGGGACTTAGAGTTTGAAACCGATGATTGGGTTTTCTTGAAGGTATCACCAATGAAACGGGTGATAAGATTTTGAAGAAAGGGAAGCTCAGTCCCAGATATGTAGACCCCGATAAAATCCTAAAAAGGGTTTGTAATGTGGCTTATGAGTTGGAGTTGCCAGCTGAACTAGCAGTGTTTCATCCAATCTTTACACATTTCCTTGTTGAACAAGTGGCTGGCTGATCCGACATAAACAGTACCATTAGAGAGTGTGGCTGTGAAGAATAATCTCAGTTTATGAAGAGGTTCCTGTTGAAATTCATGACCGCGAGGTTTGTAGGTTGAGAAATCAAAAAGTTGCTTTCGTAAAGGTTTTGTGAAGGATCCAGTGTATATAGGAAGTTACTTGGGAAGAAAAAGCATCCATGATGGCCAAGTATTCTCACCTCTATCCTTCCAATTCTATATCAGCTTGAGGTAATAGTTCCTCTCCAGTCTCTCAATTTACTATTTTGTAATGCAATCTCAATATCATGTTCCCTGAGTTATTCTTGCATTTCATCATATTAGCATGTTCTTGGAACTCAGTTCGGTAAGATATTGGTTTCTTGCATATAGTGATAGGAATTGCATCTCCTTCCCTCCAAACACAACGTGTATTTGGGGTTCCCTTCTTTGTGCATTTTTTTTAAAAATGTTTTGATAAACTCTTTTTTTAGCAAAATGAATGCAGATAAGCATAATAAATATAATACTAATTATTTGTTTTTAAAAATAAAATTTTAGTACAAACTTTGTAATTTTAAATTTATAAGAGAAGATAAATGCCACGTACCAGCCCCACAAAATTTTAGAAATACAAATTATAAATAGTTAAATATTATAAATTCAAAATTTGAATTAAAAATAGACACATGCATGAACTTACAAAAACAATGACAAATTTTAACATTCTTAAATACAGATTTAAATTTAATATTTAAAAAAAATACAATTTATAAATTTGTAAAAGCTGATTTTATTTTATTTTTTTAGAAAAACATTTAGTCTATGACAGGTTTAATATTTCAAGAAAATCAAATTTACAATAAATAAATAAATAATGTAAAGAAGAACTTTCATATGTCCATAATAACTGTTATAATAAATTAATTTGATTCTTAAAGTTTTAATTGCATGACATTATTTTAATTGCAGAACTGATTGACATTATCAAAAACTGTTACTTCGAATATATATGAACAGGTTCTATGATAATGTTCAAAAGAATCATTCGTCAATCTTGATCACTTATTTTTATGTATTGACATATTTTAAATTTCACTAAACAAAAGAAGCTTACAATTACTACAGTTTTTTTGTGAAACAA